AGAGAATTTGAGAAAAGTTGTTGTCGGGGAGATATTGGTCCACGATGAATGCGATTTTGACTAGAGTGACTTTTCTTTTGCCACAACTTTCTGGTCTTCTAGACTTAGGCTTGGTCTGCTTTCCCATCTCTGATCTTCAAAGTTGAAGAATCAAAACAGAGAGAGAGAGAAAAAAAAAATCGAGAGAGAGATGAGATACGACTTATGGACTTGTGTGTGAGGTTGTGTTAGGGTTTGGTATATATATCTATAGGGGTATAACAGTAATTTCAATTCAGGAAAACAAAGACGGGGACGGGGATAGACAAGGGGACGGGCTGGGGAACGTATCACCGTCCCCGGCCCAAAACTTGTCGGGGATTCATCTTCGAATACCATCCCCAGCTCGTCGGGGGTATTTTTCGGGAAAAAACCGTTCTAATTGGGGTCGGGGGGCCGGATCCTCATTGAGTCGGGTTCAAATTGCCATCCCTAGGCTTGAGGCTTGCTGGAATGGGTTAGGTTTGGGCTGGGCCGAGTTGGTGGTCCACAAACCTAATCTTTTTGGGCCAAGCCAGGTTGGTGGTTGCAAATATACACACGTGTATATATGAAGTGTGTAACTCACACACATAAAGTCCCATCAGTGTTGCTGCATTTGTTGTGTAGTTTTCTAGAGATTTATTTTTGCAGGAGGCTCCTCCTCTCTCCCCATCCATGTGTATAAAAGGAGACCACTCTCCTTCAATTTTATACTCAGAAATTTTTGCTATCTTTTTTTCTTCCAAAGTTTCAGTTTTTATTCTTCCTAGTATGAGAGAGTTGCCTTAGTTCTGTTCCCCGAAACTACTCAGTAGGTGCCCTGTTGTAGTTGATCCAATTGTCGTATCTTGAGAGACAGACATCGAACAACTTCTAGCACCCAACTGGTGAGGCGGCGAATCTATTTTAAAGAGACTATCTAGTACAGGCTTTGGCTTGCTTCATTTTGCCATTTTATTTTATTCTATATTTTGTTCCATCTACTTGTAATTTTTCAGCATATTTCTTATTTTGATATTCAAATTGTAAATATGAATCTATTTGTTTTTGTTAATCACACAATTTGTACAATAGTTATTTGTACCAAACAAAGTGGAGATGAATATAAAGAGTGTGTTTGAGTGGGGAACAACGAACCCTCTCCAAACGACATGATCTCATTGTCAATCAATCAAAAACGTCTGTAATAGTGGTTTAGATTTAGTATTGGATTTTGCAATGTTGTCAAGGTAATATGCATTAGTTGTTGTAACGTCATTATTGTGAGCGTTCTTGACTTGAAAAATTGGAATTAGCTTATTGATGGTGTCCTTTTGATCCTTTTTTTAAAATATATATATATATATATTAATAAAATTTTATAAATTTTTCTTATTAACTAATGTGTTATGTGATAATCAAATTCAATTCAACAATAAGATAGATGTCATATTAATAAATAAATAATTTTTAAATTTGTTAGTTTGCACAACATTTACTTATTTTAAAATTTGTACAACATTTACTTATTTTAAAATATAATTTTGCCAAGGGATTTAGAGTGCCTATTGTGAACAAAGGTTTGTTGAAATGATCGGAACCATTTCTTTTGAAGAATAATTGGAACCAAATATTAACCCAAACTATCAATTGATCAGACTTTCACATTCATATGGTCGGATTATATTTATCTTTAAAAAAACTAGATAATAAATGTAATTTAATCATATAATTATTGATATCTGATCAATTAAATTTCTACATGTATGATTTTCTTAACTAACTGTTTAAAAATGAACGATTTAAATCACCTCGACAGATGAGAGTTAGCTGACCTTTATTTACGCATAGAATACTAATGTTGTGTTTGATTGGGGGATTTGAAAATGGATTTGGAAAGACAAATAAAAAATGTGTGTGAAATTAAGAGAAATATAAATATATTTTATTCATATTTCACCTACCATTTTTTTTTTTTCCTTTCCAAATCTCTTTTCAAATTTTTTAACCAACACAGCATAAGTAGGATTTCATAAGGATTTTAGACTTTGATAATGATCTAAAATTTGTTGGCTAAAAACAAGAAAGAGAGATAATAAGAAGTTTGCTTTCCAAATGTCTTGGGTGCAAAGTCAGCTTGAGCTTGAGCTTGAGCTTGGCCTTGGCTCCTAACCACCTAGTTTGAATTGCTCTTTCCTACCTGCACTTTTTTTTCGTTTTTCTATTTTTCTTTTTTCTTTTTCTTTTCTTTTCTTTTTTTTTTTTTTTTTTTTTTTTTTTTTTTTTTTTTTTTTTTTGTTGAGGGGGAGGGGGAACCACTATTACTCAAATCAATATGTGCAATTTAAGATGGGAAAATTACTAATAAGTGGTATTATCAAAAAATTATTACATATTCATGAAAAATGTATAATTTTAATTATTAAAATTAATAAATTTTATCACTGATTTATAATTTTTTTTTTTTTTAAAGTTATACTGAAGTGCAATCTCTCCATTTAAGATTCTTAAATTATTTGAGTTATATGATAAAAATTGATCCTCTCTCTAAAATGTATCAATCCATTTATAAATAGACCTAACGTACCTGTATGGGCAAAATTATGTTGCACTTGCACCCACACAATTTTTTCTTTACACATAATACTATTAATTAAATGAGACTCACCTTTCTTTTTTATTTATTTATTTTTTTTTCTAATTTGATTATTTTATATATTGATCTGTGAAATATGATTTGAAACAATATATCATACATTGATTTATTTTGTATGTTTTGTGTTACGATTTAGAATAAATAATAATTTATTGAAATTGAAATTGAAAAAAAAATAAAGTTATACGTTCTTTCCCATTCTATGTTATTAATGGGAGAGGATCAGGGTGTTATTGAATCTTTGTGGGCTTACTATAGAATTCACATCGATAATTTAAACTGTTCAATATATGGAGTTTGTCGAATAATTCATCCCTATGAAAAATCAAGTTGATCAGATATCTATAACCATTTAACTAGATTACATTTGTATAAACAATTTATTTTAACTTACCATTGACACAAATATAATCTGATCAAATAGTTATCGATTTTCGATTCACATGATTTTTTGTAAGGATGAAATACTGAACGAACTCTACACATTAAATGGTTTGAATTATCGATGCAAATTCCATTATAGGCCCACGGAAATCCAACAGGACCCTTCAGTTTGATTTGGAATGAGAGGAGCTGTGGTGACTATTAATCAGTCTGCCTTCAAATTGTTTATTTAAAATCATTAAAATATTCAGTCAACACACCAAATTTTGAGAATTGGGAAAATGACGGATTGAGTTAGAAATTTTTTCAATGTAATCCATATATCTTAAGGTTGAATAAGCAGTCTACATATTCATCCGAATTTGAATCATAAGGCTTCAGATTCATAGTCTAGATTCTGAGCACCAAAACTTTATATCAAACTGCACAATTGACCGTTGCAACTAGGTATTGTTAGGATGCTAGGAATTGATCCATATGTTCAACTTAAAATTTCACTTCAATAGTGCTACAGAGTACAAAGATAATTTCGTGAAAATTATTTCAAAGTCTTTTCTAGCCAACCAACCAGTCAACCGTAAAATTTTCCAATCATTTAGCCAGGCTTCATACGTTTTTTCTTGTAATTTGTCTATTGTATCAATTTGGTCATATGTAGTTTCAATTGTATCAATATTTGCATTTACGCTGTGTTTGGTTGGAGGATTTGAGGAGTGATTTGGAAAGGGAAAGGGAAAAGGTGTGTGAAACTATGTGAAATATAGGTATATTTTTTTTCACATTTCACCTACCTTTTCCATTTCTCTTTCCAAATTCCTCCTCAAATCCCTCAACCAAACACAACATTAATTTTTCACATTGTGTCAATTTTATTCAATTGATAACATTCGTTAAGAAATAGGAATCAAGGGTAAAATGACCCAAGTTAAAAAGGAATAAACCAATCACTTAATCACTTTAAAGAGAATAAATAGACTATTTTGTCTCTTAATTTTTGTTTAATTTCTTAATAAATGTTATCAATTGTACTAAATTGACAAAATATTTATAAATAAAAAAAAATTAAAAGTAAAATTGATGCAATTAAAATTACAATTATTGATTAACACAAGTAACAAAGTAATTTTTTCCTGATTCATTTTTTTTCACCCAAACTAACTAGTTTGAAAGCTACTACTTACCCAATTTCATGTCAACTTGATCAATTCAATCTCTTAACAAATGAATTGAAAACATCATCTTTTTAAACCATCTAAACTTAGTTCATATAGTTTAAACTCTCTTTATTCGTCTTCATTCGATTTTGAATTGAATGCCTCCGAACCCTAACATAGTATTAGAGTTAAGTTTTGAGTGCTCATAATCTAAGTCTTCACTCCGGGGTATGTTTCTCTTATTTCGTTCTTCTATTTATCGCCTCCTAGTGCGACTTGACTGCACATGTGAGGGAGTGTTAAAAACTTACCATGCTTTGCATTTTTAAGCCATCCAAACTGAATTCATATAATCAAAAAATCTCATTATTACTTAATTTTGAGTTGAATATCATCAAAAATTTAATTTCTAAAAAAATTACATGACATGCAGCAAGTTATACAAAATCTAATCACAAAATTAGACATAACCTTCTCAAATGACATAAAACCCATCATATATATAAAGATTCCACTCCATACAAAAATATTATATAAAATTTTATAATCTAATTATATGGATATAAAAGAGCTCATCCTTGAAGCTTTGTAGCATGTCTCCAATAAAGCCATTGCTAAGGACCATCTAATTCAATTATTAGAGCGATTCTTTCGCACATTGTCAAGAGTGGGTCACGCCCATGTGATGATCAGGTGCATATTTGAAAATGACTTGTATTGTATGCCCCAACCCCATCCCCTCCTCTCTCTTCTCTCTCTTTGTACCCTACAATTATAAGTTCAAAAACTTTAATCCACATCTCTATATAACCCTCCCACACATTAGTCCTAAGCACTCCCAAAAACCAAAAAAAAAAAAAAAAAAATTGTAAAATGGATTACTTCCAATCCCATTCCCATACTAGAAAACACCCTCTAAAATGCAACAAGAGACTAACACAAGAACAGGTCAGGCTCCTCGAAACAAGCTTCAACTTCAACAACAGGCTCGACCCTGATCGCAAGTCACAGCTAGCCGAAGAGCTCGGACTCCCACCAAGGCAAGTTGCGATCTGGTACCAGAACAAGCGTGCCCGATGGAAGAACCAGAGTCTTGAGGCAGACTACAAGTCACTCCATGAAAAGCTAGAGAATGTGTTGGAAGATAATGAAAGGCTTCAGAGGGAAGTTGAGAGGCTTAGACAAGAGTTGGACAAGGCTCAAGACATGTTGCTCTCATTCAACAACATGAATAATACGACTAATAACTCTTCATTGTCAAACTCGTGTGATGAAGTTGGAAGCTCAAGCTTCATTCATGATCATCATCATCAATCCATCATCAAAGTGGATGATCATGATCATCACTTGGATAAGGAGCTCTATGCTTGTTTGATTGATGGCAACAATTTCTTTGCTCCTATTTCTTGATGAATTCTTGGTGGTGTTGTACCATGTGGGTGTGGATCCGTATACTGGTTCAATGGTCCACACCCACATGGTAGGGCTAGATTGGGTGGTATGCATATTATTTTTGCAAAAATTTATCTATGTCTTTCATATTAATTAGCATTAATGATAATGCTCATACATTACTTATCAAGTATTGTATATACATCTCATAAAAAAAAAATAAATAAATAAATAAAAAATACAAAACAAAAAAAACAGTCTAGGCTTAGACAAGAGTTGGACAAGGCTCAAGACATGTTGCTCTCATTCAACAACATGAATAATACGACTAATAACTCTTCATTGTCAAACTCTTGTGATGAAGTTGGAAGCTCAAGCTTCATTCATGATCATCATCATCAATCCATCATCAAAGTGGATGATCATGATCATCACTTGGATAAGGAGCTCTATGCTTGTTTGATTGATGGCAACAATTTCTTTGCTCCTATTTCTTGATGAATTCTTGGTGGTGTTGTACCATGTGGGTGTGGATCCGTATACTGGTTCAATGGTCCACACCCACATGGTAGGGCTAGACTGGGTGGTATGCATATTATTTTTGCAAAAATTTATCTATGTCTTTCATATTAATTAGCATTAATGATAATGTTCATACATTACTTATCAAGTATTGTATATACATCTCATAAAAAAAAATAAATAAATAAAAAATACAAAACAAAAAAAACAGTCTCGTATATATATATATATATATAGAGAGAGAGAGAGAAGATTGAGATACTCTCCCATTGGGTTTTTCAAGTGAAAGTAGTTTAGGTCTTGGTAAGCTCATCTCAGGACCTACATCAATAATATAAGTTATTTATCTTGTAAAATCTTCTAAGTAGATTATCTATATATAAAAAGGATAATGTTTGAGAGCTCGAAAATTGGTCCCCGAATCCCCCTAATGCCCAAAACGATGTCGTTTTGGGCATTAGCTTTTTTCTTTTTTTTTTTCTTTTTTTTGCTTCCATTTTCAGTTGTGCAGAGCCGAGGAACGAGAGGCGAGAAAGAGGAGAGAAAGAGAGAAAGGGAAGAGGGAATGGAGAGGGGCCCTCCTTGCCGCCGCCGATCGGCCGATCGTCGAGCAGCTCCGATCGTCGCAGCAGCAGCTCCGCTCGCCTCTGCCCGATCGTCGCAGCCCCGCCTCGCCTCCGCCTCCACCCCTGCATTTGCCCCCTGCATCTGCCTCCGGCCCCCGCCCCCCCCTCCGCCTTCGCCCGCCGCAGCTGTCTTCTTCTTCCTCCTCCTTCTTCTCTTCTTCTTCCTTCTTCTTCTTCGTTCTTCTTTCTGCTTTCTTCTTCTTCTATTCTGATGGAAAAAAAAAAAAATTTTCAAACGATAAAATGATGTCGTTTTTTCTTTAGGGGGATTCGGAGGCAGCTCCTTTCGAGCTACGTAGCATGATCCATATAAAAAATTAAAAATGATTGGTAATTACAAGATCAAATTACATGTCTTCAAAAAATTAGCAATAAGTATAATTTTGTTAATTGATTATTATTATTATTATTATTATTATTATTATTATTTTGAATATAAATATAATATGATCATCTCAATCCATATTGAAATGTTGTACAAAAAAATGGATGATGGATTAAAGTTTGATAGTATACGGGTAGTGTATGTATGTATATATGTCGAATTAATTTCATGTCTGCAGACAGAATTAACACTGTAGAAGCTATGTTATAAGATTGTAAATTTGTAATTAAAAGTTATATATTGATGTGGATCGCATATGATTTCTCTTGTGTCTTCTCAAATTTTCATTTTGCAATTATTAGTACTTAAGAAGTGCATGCCAAGTGAATTGGTTGAAACTCGTGAGAGTAGCTTAAATGGTTAGTCGCCTAAGAAGTCAAAGATTACATTTGATTAGAAAAAAAAAAAAAAAAAAAATTGATAAAAAGCGAAAGTGAAAAAAAAAATAAAAAATGAAGTAAAAGAAAAGAAATAAAATAGAAAAAATATTTTCTTACAAATATTTGATTAAGATGAAGATTTTATAAGAAAAATATAGTAAAATTTAAAAATTTAATTATAAATAACTTATACATTTAATTTTTCTTATGTTTTTTTCTTTTTTGGCAAGAAATTAAAAATTAATTACAATATTAATATGGATTATACAATAAAATTAATTTTATTTATTTTTTAATAACTTTTCACCACTTTTAAGCTAAATAAACTCATGAAAGTTATTTATTTATTTTTCTATTTTCATCACTCTCTATCTATTTCATCCTAAACAAACTGAGAGATTCAACTCTCTTCTCTGGTTTATTCAATTCGTAAGTTTAATTGATGATCTCTGAATTCCGAATTTATACACCTGACGTGAGAGTCTAAATGACCGTGCCTAAGCTAATTTCTCGGTAATTTTTATAAATAAATTATATATATATATATACACATGAAATGGATGGAAACTAAGATTAGGATGATTTGACTTCACCAGCATGTTGTTTGGTATGAAAACATATTCACCTTTGTTTGGTCGATTTTGAAATTTGGTTTTAGGTTGTCTTTCTTTAGTAATTTTTTTTCCATATTAGTCATGTTGTTTTACTTTTTAGATACATTTTAATCAAAATAAATTTTTTTATGAAAAAATTTAAAAATAGAAAATTACTAAACAAAAAAAATAAAAAATTGGGCTAGTGATTGGGCTTGGCCTCAAACAATGAGTTTTTTAAACTCTTTTATTTTTATTTTTTTTTGTCTTTAGTGATTTTTTTTTTCTTTTTCATATTTTAGTCACATTTTTTTTTATTCTTAGATACACACAAAAAGTAACATATTTGGGAAGGGAAAAAAAAAATCACTAAACACAGGAAAAAAAAAGAAAAAACCAACTATTTGTTGGGCTTGGCCCATAACTTGAGAAGCATCCGAATAACCTTGCAAAACCAATAAAAGACACTAGCAAACTAATGTAATGCATAAGGGAATCCAAGCCTAGGGTCTCATCTCATTTAATAAATCAAATGTAATAATTGTTATTTTGTTTTTAATATATAACTGGTTGTGACTATATATGCAGATAGATAACAGTCTTAAATTTTAAATAAAAATAAAATAAACATAATTAATTAGAAAGCTTGAATCAAACTCTCCTTGCTACAACAATGGGTAGCCCAGGCACTATTCGAGATTTAAATTCAGGCCCAACTCAACTCTTAACGAAGGTAAACTCTCTCCATGGACCTTTATAAGGCCCGTTTGGCCTTCAACTTTTTGATTAAAAATTTTAAAAAGTAATAAAATAATGGCATATTCACACATCAATCGATTATTTTTTTCCTCACAACTATCTAATTAATTAAAAAAGACATTCTAAACTACTTTTTTTTTTTTACTTCAAAAAAAAAAAAAATCAAAACATCATTAAAAAATCCAAACTCTGAAACGGGCCTATGCATGCCTTTTATAAACTTCTTATCTAGTGTAAATAGGTTCAAAATCATCATATTATGACTAAATTTTCTTCTTATTAGCAAGGATTAGGATTTTTTTTTTTTTAGTGATTTTTTGACTTTTTAATATTTTAAGAGTGAGTTTGGTATATAAGTAAAAAATGTTTTTTTTAAACTTTTTTTTTATCTTTAGTGATATTTTTACAAAATTTTACGTTTTAGGTCCGTCTTATATATGTCTAATAAGTTCTTTTTTTAAATGTAAGAAACTTTAAGGGAAAAAAAACAAAAAAAAATAACTATTTTTTTATTTATAGTATTAATTTCTTTACAAGATTGTTTTTAATCGATAAATCTAGCTAACTCAAAAAAAAATCCTTAATGACAGCACTACATCATCGCATATTGCAAAGATATAATGCCTAAATTTTTTTTTATTTATTTAATCAAAGCACTGAAATCATGAACATATTGAATGGTGAATATCTAGAGAGAGAGAGAGAGAGAGAGAGGGGTTCCCCCTATTGCATGCATCATCATTAGCATCATCATTCAACTGTTTCATGGAATGACAATTGGAATTGACTTTAAGTACCCATCAAATGTTAGTCAGATAAGAAAGTGAGCCAATGGCAATTTAAAAACCCACTTTGCCTAGCTAGTTGATTATTATCATGCATATGAATAGTGAAGATGCACTATGAAATGAAACCCTCACCACCACTAGCTACACCATTTTGGTCAACTACACAATTTTCAACCACAAAAACAAAGAGATAACTTGTGTGTTCAAGAGTCAAGCCCACTAAGATTAAACAAATTTATTATTTATATTGATTATCTAAAAATGTTTGTCACTTTCAGTTTCATGGTAGTTGAGATTCGATTTTGAAAATGTTAATGGGTATTCATGAAGAAAAAAAAAAAACTACAATGCAAATTAATATAGTTCAAATTTTTAGATTTTGAATTTAATTTGTCTACAATTTATCTAGGTGGATTGTATTATGCAATAGGATATGTGACCTTACAACAAGTTTATTATGATAATTTAAATTATTCATTTATTCGTTTTCAAGAATTATTAGGGTTCAAAGTATTTAGAACTTGAATCTAGCATGTCTGTAATTTAATTAGGTAGATTGTATGATGAAATAAAATCCATGAATCTACAACAAGTTTTGCTACAATGATCTAAATTGTTTATCTAGTTGTTCCATTTATTTAGATCATTTATTTTAAAAAATAAATTATTCTAATAGTAATAGTCACTTTATTTTATTACATTTTTCTTATATATATATATATATCAAAAGATGGTATGTATGCTTTTAAAATAGATTTTTTTTTTATTGAATCAATTTTATTTTTATATTGATGATTTACACAAGAACTAATAAGAGAAACAATTTTAAATCACCAAAGCAAGATATGTTATAGGCTTCGCGAGCCCAATTATACCGTGTAATTCACTTGATACAGACAAGTCACATCCTAAACCAACTAGCCAAAGCCACTACATTTTAAATCTTTTTTTTTTTTTTGGTTACAGGAAAATCTTCCCTACTCTCCCGCAGGTCTAAGGCAGTGTTCTTTGCAGAGATCACCAAGGTGTCCTGTTAGTCGTTCCGAGCGAGGAGACTATAACCTAGGAACTTGTCCCAACCTTTCAAGATAAGCTCCGCTTAAGTCAGGACTCGCACAATAGAAAAGTATTGAACCCACGCCAAGTGCTGACTAAAATTTTAAATCTTGTTACATGCAAGACTCCACAAGCTAGGACAAAATCCAATGTGGCCAAAAAAAAAAACAAAAAAAAAAAAAAAAAAAAAATCTATAGCATTTGTTAAATTTTGTATCATCATGACGTCATAGTAAGGAGTTATAAACGAATTTTCATCATTACCTAATAGATATCTTTATGGGCAAATTACATATACTCCCCTCGAGGTTTGGCTAAATTACAGATACCCCCTGAGGTTTCAGAAATTACTCCCGCCCCCTGAGGTTTGTATTTTCATAACATTTTGCCCCCTGAGGTTTATATTTCATAACAAATTACCCCCTAATTTCTTATGCAAATATAGCATTCAGGGGGAAATTCGTAATTTCTCAAACCCCAGGGGGGTATCTGTAATTTAGCCAAACCTCGAGGAGGTATATGTAATTTGCCCTATCTTTATTTGTAAAATATATATATATATATATGTACACTAGCGTATGTCCGTGTCTGAAGGTACGGTATAAATAATATTGGCACACATATTTTATAAAATCCAATTAACATAAATTATTAATATTGGTATCACATCCTTTATAAAAAAAATAAATTCAAAATGATAATAATTTCACTGTTATAGAGATCAATTATAATAAATCAGTTCAAGATATCGTACAATGGCAATTCATTTAAATTAAAATATAATTTATCAAATTCATTACTAAAAGTTTAAGTTAAAATATTGATTTGTATTTGAAATTTTTATTGAACTTTTTATAGAATTCCACCATCTAAAAAAGTATAGTATTTAAAATACTCATTCTCATTCTCTCTCTCTCTCTCTCTCTCTCTAACGTCTCTCTTTCTCATTTCCTCCTCTCATCATCTCTCATCTCTTAACAAACACTACATCTCCTCTTAGAGCTCAAATAACAAATCCTTTATTTCCTTTGTTTGATCTTCCTCCCTCTGTATTTTTTTTTTCCACTCTATTTTATCTTAAATTTGTGATTTGACTTTGTTAAATAAAAAAAAATCAACACCCATTTCAAAGGCTTTTTTCAAAACCATAAAAAATCAACACTCATTGTCCATTAAGAAATTAAATCCATTTCATAAATCAAACTGAAAATAAAAATATATTTATAAAATTAAAACCCATTTTATAAAGATCAATTATTATTTCATACCTAAAACTTTTTTAAAAATTAAATCTAAATCCATAAGCTACATAAAAAAAATCTATATAAATAAAAAACAAACAGAATACACGCATCAAATATGCTACAGATCTTTTAAAGAGAGAGAGAGAGAGAGAGAGAGAGAGGGGCTGGAATGAGTGGATTTGAACCTTACACCACTCCTATGAGAGCACCCTCTATCCTCAATATAGTCCCGACCCGACTTTTTTGGCATTCAGATGTCTTCTTCTTACGGTCTTACCAAGTTACAAAATTGACTTGTTTAAAGCTAATATAGTCAAAGAAAAACTTCCAAAACCGTTCATTACATCCACAGGCCATTAAAACCTTAAATAGAAACAAATTAGCGAAAGTGTATAGTAATTTCATATCAATATCATGGGATTTTATTACTCCCAAATAGACCTATGTATTAGACCAATTTCTATATACCAAAACTTGCATCAATGTACACTGAAACAATGACATCGAACACAAACAGATAATTAATCCTATAGAGTTTTACCTATCATCAATTTCGATAACAATAACAATAAAAATTGCAAAACCCAGATCATGCAAAAATCGAGAATAGCTTTTTGAACAAAACCCAAAACCTAATTGCAATTAAACATTGTATCACCAAAATAAAAAACTCAGAGCTTGCAAAGTAAAACAATCAAAATGAAATGTGGGTTCTGAGACAAAGAGAGAGGATCTCGATGACATCGAACACAAACAGATAATTAATCCTATAAAGTTTTACTCATCATCAATTTTGATAACAACAACAATAAAAATTGCAAAACCCAGATCATGAAAAATCGAGAATAGCTTTTTGAACAAAACCCAAAACCTAATTGCAATTAAACATTGTATCATCGAAATAAAAACTCAGATCTTGCAAAGTAAAACAATCAAAATGAAATGTGGGTTCTGAGACAGAGAGAGAGGACCACGAGATGGGTAGATTTCATGGCGATGGGGATGCAGATGAGAAAGATACTAGCCACAGCGATGGCAGTGTTGCGCTTCCAGTGCTTGGGTCTGCAGTACGGACCACCAGTCATGCTCCATACTTTGTTTCTGAAGTCTCCGCCGTGTGCTGCATCTCCGTGGTGTCCGTGATCTCTTCCTCCTCCACCCATCTTCGCTTTCTCTCTCTTTGTGCAGTGGCGATGACTGGAGAAGGTGATGAGCAGCACCACGGCTGGGTCGCGAGAGAGTTGTCGGAAAGAGATGCATAGGTCTGTTGAAATTTGAAAATTGGGAGTGAGAATGAAAGAAAAAAAATAAGAGTTTATAGAAAGAGGTTGATGAGCGTGGGTCTCTCTTCTGTTGGAGTGGATGGGTGTGTTTTGAAATTTAAAATGTGAAAAGGTGAGGTGCGATAGATGAGAATGGGTGGTTGCAAAGTTTGTGGCTCTTGGGCGGGAAGTTTAGGTAGAGTGAGAGAGAATGTTTTCATCTCAGTTGTCCATCTAAATACAGAAATGAATCACAACCATTAAAAGGTCCTAGTAAGACAAATGTGTGAAGGACAAATTCAAAAATCATCCTGCTTTATTATATAGATATTGAAGATTCATATAAGGTTTAAATTTATGAAGTCTATTAGGTATTCAATATATTTAAAAATAATAATTAATTGTTATAATTCATTTAATTTGTGGACTATAAAATTCATTAATTTAATTTCCACTACACACAGTAAAATCTGGCTCCTAATTCTGGGATCGTAGGCTTTTCCCTATAATATGAATAAAAATAAGTGAACAAAAATGAGAAAATAAAAAAATAAACAAATGGAGAGAGAAACAAAAATGGGAAAAAATAAAAAGAGAATAGAGAGGAAGGTGGCATCATCGGATCATGGAATGATGGGTGAGAAAAGGAAAAAGTAAGAGAGAGAAGCGGGAAAATAGAAAATGTACATGTATGATATTTTTTGAAAAATATATCCCAGCCGTTGTTTTATAATTTGAATAGATCTAAGCCGTCCAAATATCCTAGTAGGACAAATGTGTGTAGGATAAATTCAAAAATCATCTTGCTTTATTATATAGATGTTGAAGATTCATATAAGGTCTAAATTTATGAAGCCTATCAGGTATTCAATATATTTAAAAATAATAATTAATTGTTCTAATTCATTTAATTTGTGGACTATAAAATTCATTAATTTAATCTCCACCACACACAGTAAAAACTGACTCATAATTCTGGGATCGTAGATTTTTCCCTATAATATGAACAAAAATAAGCGAACAAAAATAAGAAAATAAAAAAAAATAAACAAATAGAGAGAGAAATAAAAATGGAAAAAAATAAAAAGAAAATAGAGAGGAAGGTGACATTATTGGATCATGGAAGGATGGGCGAGAAAAGAAAAAAGTAAGAGAGAGGGGCGGGAAAATAGAAAATGTATATGTAGGATATTTTTTGAAAAATATATCTCAGCCGTTGTTTTATAATTTGAATAGACCTGAGCCGTTCAAATGTCCTAGTAGGACAAATGTTTGTAAGACAAATTCAAAAATTATCCTACTTTATTATATAGATGTTGAAGATTCATATAAGGTCTAAATTTATGAACTCTATCAGGTATTCAATATATTTAAAAATAATAATTAATTGTTCAAATTCATTTAATTTATGGACTATAAAATTCATTAATTTAATCTCCACTACACATAGTAAAATCTAGCTCATAATTCTGAGATCGTAGACTTTTCCCTATAATATGAATAAAAATAAGTGAACAAAAAGGAGAAGAAAAAAAAAACAAATAGAAAGAAAAATAAAAATGAGAAAAAATAAAAAGAAAATAGTGAGGAAGGTGGCATCATCGGATCATGGAATGATAGGTGAGAAAATGGAAAAAGTAAGAGAGAGAAGCGGGAAAATAGAAAATGTGCATGTAGGATATTTTTTGAAAAATATATCTTAACCGTTGTTTTATAATATGAATAAATCTAAACGGTCTAAATATCCTAGTAGGACAAATGTGTGTAAAATAAATTTAAAAATCATCCTACTTTATTATATAGATATATATTTTTGGAAATGGAATTGGACAGCGTCAATCAAAATCAACATAGTGAAAGAGAAATGTTATAAACACTAATTAATTAGATTAAATTTATAAATTTAAAGCAAAATCAAGTTAATTAAAATTATAAAAATCAAAATCACACAAACCAGTTTAAGAAATACCGATGTAATTTTCCATTGTTATTTATGTACTGAACAAAAACATGCTCACAAGTCATTTCAACTGCTTCAATTCCAAACACTGTATTACAAGGGAAAAGAAAATAAAAAATAAAAAAAAACCCTATTTGCATTCCTCTCTCCAAAACTTCAAGTCCAAACGAAAGAGAGAGAGAGAGAGTGGTTAGAAGGGTGGCGAGTCAAAGCCAAAGAGCACCAGCTTGTTTCAAAATGGGAACCAATTCACCAGAAATATGACTACCCACAACTCTTTCCAGCCCACCAAAAAACTTCCCACCCACAAACACCGCCGGAAACTCCACACCTACGCCGCCAATTCTGGAGAGTTCGTCGATCGCCGCCGCCTCTTCACTCTCCTCCACCTCCACCACAGGAGGGTTGACTCCCAGCCCCAACAGCAACCGCTTCACAACATGGCACATGCAACACCCACGACGCCCAAACACTATCACTGCATTCTCCGCCACCAGCTTTGTCCTAGACTCGCCGGAGTTGGAGGCGCTGGTGGAGGAAGGAACCCAAGTTCTGTATGGGACTGCCTGTTGCATTGCATATAGATTTTAGAGAGAGAGAGAGTGGAGGTGTGAGAGAGAGAGAGGGATTGGGGCGATGATTTTATACTGATTTTTTGTTTGGTGGTGGAAAGTGATGACTCTAACGTCGACGACAGTGACGCATGGATTTACGTCACAGATGCTGTTGTTGACGTGGCGTTGCGTCGTGGGTTGGGTGGCATAGATAAAGATATCCAGTTGGCGACGGCCTTCAACTTTTTTGCTAGCAAAACATGTTCTGAGTTCATTTGGGAATTGGCGTTGATTTTTTTATTTTTTTATTTTAGTTTGGGGTCAAATTTTTTTATTTGTGATAGGTTTTTTTGATTTTTTGTAAAAAAAAAAGAATGTAATGATTATGGATTAGATGTGATATTTTGGACTATTTTGGGAAGTGGGTTAAAAGCTACTTCCTAACTTTTAACCCACTTTCTTTTCTCACAAAAAAGTTAAAAAAAATAAAAAAACAACTTTTAACCATCTTCTTAAAACACTTATTTGTCTTAAGTTAAAAAATTTATTTTATCTTTTTATGACTAAAATAATCTCAAATCCAACCCAACTCAACCCAACCTAACCCAACCCAAGTTGCCAAATGAAATCTATGTGTCTTATAACCAAAAAGATATAATATAAATTTAATTTTTTTGAAATATAATTATAAAAAAAATATCATAATTAAACATATCACAAGACATAATTGAAAAATTTATAAATCATAATTAAAATAATATCATAATTAAAAAATAAAATTAATCTTAATTAAAAAAATGACATAATTAGAAACATATGTATATTAGAATTTTCCTTTTTATTATATGTTATTTTGTTAAATTATACTTTGTCCATTTATATTTAGTCATTTTTTCAATTTGATCATTAAAGTTTTTTTTTTTTTTCTCATTTTAACTCTTCATATTTTAAGTTTTTTACGTATTGTGTCAGAAATGTAAGTTATATATAATAAATATTTTTATGGCATATGACTCCCAATTTTATTTCTAATTTTTAATAGAAATTGGCTCTAGAAATAAATTAGAAAAAGTTTGAAATATGAATAATCAAAGTTAAAAAAAAAATGAATTTTAAAAATCAAAGTCAAAAAGTGGTCAAATATAAAATAGTAAAGTGTAATTTATGAAAAATATTATAAATCTTAAATAATTTGTTAAATTTTTTTATCAAATCTTTCATATAAAATTCATACAAATTCACTTATATATGTAAATCGCAAATGAGGTTTAATAAAAAATTTAATTGAGTTTTGGGACCCAATGGATTTAAAGCCTTGTTTAACATAAATTAAAAATTTTAAAAAGTTAAAAAATCACAATCTTATTTAAATCACATCATTTTATTTAAATCATATCACTTTTTTACTATATTACTTTAAACTCAATCCATATCCAATTCATATTTCATAAAAGATAAAAAAAAATATACTTATTTAATACATCTCAAACTCCGCTAGCGCACTTATAAGAATTGATCACATCATAGTGCACTTATAAGAATTGATCACATCATAGTGGACTCGTGTTTACGTTTCAAACCAAGAAGAGTCGCCACCCTCTTAAAAAAAAAAAAAGAAAAGGGTTAATTACACTAATAGTCTCTATAGTTCGGGACTTGTATCACTTTGGTTCCTGACTTTTCAATTGTGATACATGTGATCTTAAATTTTAAATCTTGTTCCAAATAAGGACAATTGAAAATATTATTAGATTTTTCAAGGGTAAAATCGTCAATTTGATAAAATATAAACTAATTTGACAAAAATAAATGTCAAAAAAATATTTTTAATTTTTTTAAAATTATTTTTATCCACCAATGATAAAATTATGTAAAATTAATAAAAATTACATGATTAATTTTTTAAAATTAATTTTATATGATCATCATCCAAACACATAATAAAAATTAATTTTGTAAAAAAAATAAATAAATGTCTAAAAGATTTATCAATTTTACATAATTTTATTTTTTGTAGGTAGAAATGATTTTTAAAAATTCAAAAATATTTGTTTGACATTTATTTTTGTCAAATTAGTTTATATTTTATCAAACTGACAATTTGACCCTTGAAAAATCTAATTATATATTCAATTGTCCTTCATTAGAACAAAATTCAAAATTCAGGGTCAAATGTGTCACAATTGAAAAATCAAGCTAATGAAGGACAATTGAATATATAATTAGATTTTTCAAGTGTCAAATTGTCAGTTTGATAAAATATAAACTAATTTGACAAAAATAAATGTCAAAAAAATATTTTTATTTTTTTTAAAATTATTTTTATCCACCAATGATAAAATTATGTAAAATTAATAAAAATTACATGATTATTTTTTTAAAATTAATTTTACATGATCATCATCCAAGCATATAATAAAAATTAATTTAGTAAAATAAATAAATAAATGTCTAAAAGATTTATCGATTTTACATAATTTTATTTTTAGTAGGTAGAAATGATTTTTAAAAATTCAAAAATATTTGTTTGACATTTATTTTTGTCAAATTAGTTTATATTTTATCAAACTGACAATTTGACACTTGAAAAATCTAATTATATATTCAATTGTCCTTCATTAGAACAAAATTCAAAATTCAGGTTCAAATGTGTCATAATTAAAAAATCAGGGACCAAAGTGACACAAGACCTAAACTATAAGGACTATTTATGTAATTTGTCCTAAAAAAACAAAAAAAAGTCTCCACCACTCTCGACCGACCACCGATTACCTTGAGCTCACTGCCCACTACAATTCCAGTGTGGCCAATTATGATTCATTATTCTTGAACATTTTTTAGTTATTCTATCTCAAAATATTTATAATTATTGGAAATATTTAAAAATTTAAAATATGATAATATCAAAATATAATTTAATAAATAGGAGTATTTTAAGATAAGAGTATATAAAAATTTTAAAAACAACACCTTATTTGATTTTAATTTTTTAAATTTAATTTTTTTAAAATTGAGTTTTTTTATATTTTCATATATTTTTACTTTTAGTGAATTTTTTAAAATATTTTAAGCAAACTTTTTATAAAGAATTTTTGGTTTTGTAATTTTTATAAACAATTTTCAAGTTTTTAATATGTATTTTTAAATTTTTAGTAAATTTTTTCATATTTTAATTAATTTCCTTTTCTTTTTAAATTTAGATCCACTTTATCTGGATTATTAAATAAGATGTATATTGAATATAAAACTATATAAAAAAAAAATAGATTACTTTTGAATACAAAAGCTATAACATTTCATCACTCCGTTTGGAAAGGGATTTTGTGAGCTTTTTTGGCTATTTTAGTCACAAAAGATAAAATAAGCTATTTTAGCCACAACAAACAAAACATCACATCCAACCCATAATCATTAAATTATTCTCTCACAAAAAGAGTCAAAAAAGCCAAAAAGTCAAAAAGTCCTTCCCAAACCAAGTTTTTTAGCCCAAGCTAAAATAGTCAAAAAAGCCAAAAAATCAAAAACCCAACTTACTTCCCAAACCAACCCTTACATGAATTCTGAAATTTGATGCTTTTAAAACTTTTTTCAAAAAAATTTCACAATTTAGATTTTCAAAAGAAAAAAAAAAAAAAACACAAAAAAAAAAAAACACAAACATTCACAATTTCAATTTCCAATACTTGCAAAACTTGACACTTACAAAACCTATTTTCAAAACTGTGAAATTTCACTGTTAATATGGTCAAAATTAAAGGGCTTGATTTAACTCTCAAAACATAATTTTTCAAAAAAAAAAAAAAAATTCAAAATTTTGTTTATAGGAAATTTTTCTCAAAAAAATTTCAAAATCACCCTCTCTCTCTCCTACACAATCAATCACTTTTTCTCTCTCCTCTCGCATTCTCAATAACTTTTTCTCTCACACACATCTACTCAACTACAACAAAATGTCAAATCATCCCAAACTCCCAAACGCCAAAACTATTATCAAAATATACAACCAAACAAACTAAAAAAATTTCTAAACTTTCTCCTCAGTTTTTTTTTTTTTGAAAATTTATCTCAAAACACAAACCAAACACACAATATTTCACAATTTTAATTTCTAATACTTGAATTTTCACTCTCAAAATGTTTAAAAAAGAAATCATAAAATTTCACAGTTTCAAAATTTGTGAAATCATGAAATTTCATAATTTCAATAGTGTGAAAGTACATGATTTTAAATTGGAGTTTCAAAGTGAAAATTGTGAAATTTCACATTTTTTGGGATGAAATTTTATAATTTTGGTATGCAGAAAAAAAGAAAGAATGGACCTTGAGAATTTTAGTGTTTGTGTAGTACATAATGTGCATACCGAATACTGCACTAGATGATTATGAATCGGAGCTCCTCACCCGATTGGTCTATCCAGGAATTGAGCCCTTGCAATAGAGAGCACCGTTAGAGCTGCCCGGCCAGGGTTGGTAGGATAACCCCTCCAGTGTGGGAGTAAGTGGACGAAGAAGATAAGGAACTCTCTCTAAGCATAGAGAGAGGAAAATGTAGAGTGTATTTAGTTGTGTTTTAGTGAATATAGTTCAACTCAACTTAGTTACTTTCAATGTGAAGTTGCTTTCAATGTGAAGTGAGTAGAGTTTATATAGAACACCTTACTTGTTACTTGTTACTTGTTACCCACGTTGGTTTCATGAAGTTTTGGTGCTGCCAGGCTCCCTATAATATTGCTCAAGGTAGGGGACCATCGGGTACTTGACAATGGATGCATATACTCATTGTAACCATGCTTATAATAGGCCACATTCCCTTGATCAACTATTTCCGTGATTCTGGGGGGAAGAGACCAGCTGAGGTGGCAGTATGCACATGTATGCATTCATAGCTTCCACATTTCTCTGAGAGGTTCTCTCAGCTCGGTACCGTTGTGTCCCAACTCGGTCCTTTGTGGGACTATTTGTAGAGACGAGTTAGCCCGTTTGAATATCTTTGTATAGGCTTAACCCACTTTTGGTTCTGATGATGGGCTTCAGTTCATTAGCTTGGTTCATAGATTAA